ATAAGTAAATTTTTAAGAAATTTTAAAAGGGCTGGGGATGTAGTCGGTTAGTAGAGCAGCCCTGGGTTAAATCTCCAGTCCTSGGGGAAGAGTGATATCACCTATGCTGCTCTCCTAAAATGGTTAGCTTCTTTTCAATAGAGCCTGTTTATAAATTCCTTGCTCATCTATACTCTTGCCCTGCAGATTTGGACTTTCTCTCTAAAAGAAATGGCTGCTTTTCAAGTTTAAAACCTTCTTCCAAATGAATATGACTATTAAAAACAAAACAGGAAAAATTTAAACACTATTTTCTTTTTATTTCTAACAATGCAGCCAGCAGTTGGCTGGTACTGCCATTTTTATAATATGCAACTACAGAATGTCACATGCAATGAGAGAACACATTTAGGGCTGAAAATGTTTTCCAACTTAAGCAAGATATATTTATAGATTGTCAAATAAGAGTAGCTTTAAAAGAGTAGTAAAATTGTTTTGCCTCACAGCAACAGCCCAGGAGCTAACATATTCTTTTCTTTTTTTCTTTAAATACGTGGTATAGATATGGTATAATATCTTGCTGGGAAAAAAAGCTGTTTCTTGGTGTTCTGTAAGTCTTGTGGGTTTTGTTCTGTGAAGCCTCAGAACTCTGTAATGGGAGTCTGGCAAGGTTAGATATCCCGGCAAAGTTCAGTTTTTTTAAAAAACCTCAAGCCAGGCGTGGTAGCACATTCCTGTAATCCCAGCAGCTCAGGAGGTTGAGATAGGAGGACCACGAGTTCAAAGCCAGCCTCAGCAAAAGTGAGGTGCTAAGCAAATCAGTGAGACCCTGTCTCTAAATAAAATACAAACTAGGGCTGGCAATGTAACTCAGTGTTTGAGTGCCCCCGAGTTCAATTCCTGGTACAAAATAATAATAATAATAAGAAGAAGAAGGCTCAAATCAAATCCTCTTCCAACATCTCAGAACTATGCTGATCTCTCAAGCTACTGTACCTACCTTAGTAAACTCTACTTCATTTAATTCAAGTTATCCATTAATTCTACTTTAAATTTTACTGGCTAAGCAAGGTCAAGATTAAGACACGAAACACTACACAAGGTTCTTATTTATTTTCAATGGTCCAGCGTGACATATACAACAGGTAAATATTTTCCAACAAAAAATGTTTCCTGCTGGTGTCGTGACACATGCCTGTAATCCCAGCAATTTGGGAARCTGAGRCAGAAGGATGGCAAGTTTGAGGCCACCCTCAGCAACTTAGTGAAACCCTGTCCCAAGATAAAAAATAAAAAGGGTTGGGGATATGACTCAGTGGTAAGTGCCCCTGGGTTCAATCCCCAGGACCCGCCAAAAAGAAAAAAGTTACACACACATAAACACCTCTCTTTAAGATATGAATTTTCTGATAAAACAGGTACTTTGAGTTTTTTTCCAATAACTTCACATTTCTCTACAATATGGATCCCATTCTTCAGAAATGATGTTTCCAATGCATGAAAAATGTCCTTACTCTGGTAGGTATAAATTATCAATCAGGAAGGGATCTTAACAGAAGGTGAACAAGTAAGACAAGCAGTTTTGAATTGAGTCAGTTCTTAAGGATCTCTCTTTTTTGGGGTACTAGGGATTGAATCCAAAGGTAATTTACCACTGAGCTAGATCCCAGTCCTTTTTATTTTTGAGACTGGATCTTGCTTAATTGCTGAGGCTGGCCTCAAACTTATAATTCTCCTGCTTCAGCCTCCYGAATAGCTGGGATTATAGGTGTGTGTCACCACACCCAGCTAGGATCTATCTATTTATTTGTTTGTATGTGGTGCTAAAGATCTAACCCAGTGCCTCACACATGCTAGGCAAGTGCTCTACCACTGAGCTAAAGCCCCAGCCCTAGGATCTCTTTTTAAGAAATTCTATAATACAGTAATAGAAGCAAATGCCTAAGACTGTTGAACACAACCAGAAGTTTCCTCAAAACAATGTCTACACATCCTTCGAATAAACCTTATTTCTAACCTGTTCTACTGATATGCTGGGAGACAATGGAGTAAAATCTGTGCTGTCCCTGCTTCCAGTGCTTTCTCAATCAACACACTCTATACATCATTTCAATAATGGGGAAGGAGCCCAGCCATATATGCCAAGTGAATGTTTTTTTTAAAAAAACATATTTTTAGTTGTTGATAGATATTTATTTATATGTATGTGGTGCTGAGAATCAAATGCAGTGCTTTACACATATTAGGCAAGTGCTCTACCACTGAGCTTCAACTCCAGCCCCACAAAGATACTAGATCTTAACACTCTAAGCATGTTTTCCATAGCCAAAAAAAAAAAAAAGACTAACTATAAGCCAAGTACCATAGCACTCATCTACAATCCCACCATCTGGGGAGAATGAGGCAAGAGGATCACAAGTTGAAGTTAACCTTGGCAATTTAGTAAGACCCTGCTCAAAAAAAAAACAAAACAAAACTGGGGATGTGGCTCTGTGGTCAAGTGCCCTGGGTTCAATCCCCAGTAATGCAGAAAGGAAAAAACAAAACAAAAAAAAATTAGACCACAACATGAAATGAGAATTTCATTTCAACGTAGGAATATAATAGAGTGTAATAAATTCAGCTTTCAACCTCCAAGATCAACTTCAAACTTTATATTATTAAAAAAAAAAAAGGGTCTTTGGGCTTAGCAGTACTCTCCTTCCATATGCGAGGTCCTGGGTTCTATCCTCAGTACCATATAGAAATAAATTAAATAAAGGTATTRTGTCCAACTACAACTAAAAAATAAATATGAAAAAAAGTCATTTTATATATAAAAGAAATTCTGGACTGAAAAACTGGACACTTACAACTTGTAAATCTCCAAAACTGTCATCAAAATTATATTCATCAAGATAGGCTAGGGTTGTGGTTCAGTGGTAGAGTGCTTGCCTAGAATGTGTGAAGCACTAGGTTCAATTCTCGGCATCACATGTAAATAAAAGGTCCATCAACAACTAATAAAATATTTAAAAAATAAAAATAAAACTGAAACTCCTAGAAGAAAATACTAAAAAAATAAAACAGGTAAAGGACACATTTAAGTATCCTCAGTCAAAAAATAATACTGTTTGGCAAGCAAGGTGGCACACACACCTGTGATTCCAGCAGCTCAGAAGGCTGAGGCAGGAGAATCAAAGCCAGCCTCAGGAATTTAGTTGAGGTCCTAATAACTGAGCAAGACCCTATCTCAATAAATAAATAAATAAAATTAAAATTAAAAAAATAAAAAGGGCTGGGGGTGTGGCTCAGTGATTAAGTGCACCTGGTTCAATTCTGGTATCAAAAGTAAGCACTATTCATTTACTAACTCCTATGTTCACATGGCTCACATTATACCTGAAACTGTCTGATAAATTGGACATCTGTCTCAACAGACTCAAGCTCATAGTGATTTATCGGTCTTAAAATTTTCCAACACAAAAATAAAGATTTTTATAAGGCCCTTAGTTTATGACAAAGAGCACTAGGAGAGTAAAACATTCACTAGATTAATTAAAACAAACAAAAACAATCATTTTCCCTTTCACACAAAACTTCATCTTCACAAACCTAAGATTTTTTAAAAAGTTTGTAATTATAATCTTAAAATTCTGGACTTGCCCAGCATAATGGTGCAGGCCTATAATCCTAGCAACTAGGGAGGCAGAGGCAGGAGGATCACACATTTTAAGCCCAGCCTCAGCAACTTACCAAGACTTTGTCTCAAAATAAAAAATAAAAAGGGCTGGACATAGTTCAGAAGTAAAGCACCCCTAGGTTCAATCCCCAGTATAAAAAAAAAAAAAAAGGAATGATTATGAACAAGACTCATTGCTACTTATAAAAATTTAAAAATTAAAAAAGTATGTAAGCCAGGTGCAGTGGCACACACCTCTAATCCCAGCAACTCAAGAGGCTGAGACAGGAGAATCAGGAGTTCAAAGTCAGGCTCAGCAAAAGTGAGGTGCTAAGCAACTCAGTGAGACCCTGTCTCTAAAATATAAAATAGGTCTGGGTATATGGCTCAGTGAGTTCAATTCCCGGGTGTCCCCGCCTCAAAAAAAAAAAAAAAAAAAAAACAGCACATGAGATAGTATGATCTAAAACCATATGATAATCCCCTGGAAGTTTTCAAACACAAACCACAAAGTGAATATGGTATAGATTCACAAAGCATAGGAGAAAGAAAAAATAAAACAAAAAATGCTGGCCCCTGGTCTACTACAACCACCAAATCGTCAATATTTTCTTAGGCCTCATTCATATACAGATGAAAGTATATCTATCAACTCTCCATTACTCATATTGCTGTGTGGACTACCTAGGTTTCTATCCACTAAATGATGTTATCTCTGTGCTCAGTTCATCCTTTTTACCACAGGGTGGGGGGAGGGAGAGCTAAAAGTTATTTTACTTTACTGTTTCTATTTGTCTGCTGTAGAAAGAAAAGTCGAATTTAAACCATAATATTCCACTCATCAAATCATTCGAACAAACTCTATATATGGGCCGTTAGTATCATAAGTGAGTTGCTGACCCTGGGAAGACATGAGGTTGAAAAGGAAGGAGGGTTTCAATACTTTCCATATGGGATAAATCTCGGAGTTCAATCCCCAATTTGCCAGTCTCATTCCGGTAGTGGACTGCGAGGCTTGCACGTGGGCCAGTCCGACTGCTGCTGTCACCTCTCGTCGCCAGTTGGCGGGTGGGATCTAGGCCGGTGCGCGGACCCCCAAAGAAAGGTTGGCGCGCAGGCCGCCACCGCCCTCGACGAGTGAGTCCGGGAAGACAGGCTGCCGTCTCCAGCCCACATGGCCGGCATGCGAAGGGGAAGAGAACACTGCTAGCCCTACGCTCGCGCCCGGACACACGGCCCGCAGGCCCGGGCGGCGCCCCTGGGCCGAGAGTCGGCCCACCCGCCCGCCCGCCGGCGGCAACTCCACCCGCAACAGCTCCAGCCCTCTCTCGCGCTGTCGGGCGTCCCAGCCCGCACCCACCTTGACGTCCTCGTCCTCGTCCTCGCCTTCCCAGCGGTCCCCGCCGGCAGTGCCGCCGCCCCCCACCTTTCGCACCGGGTCTTCCACTGAGAACGTGTCCGCGTCTACGGAAAAGAGCGAGCCGTGTTAATGCCTGCCTCGGCGTGGGACCGGTGCCGGCCCGGACCCTGCCCCGGAAACTTCTGCTTACCCCAAGAGTCGGAGTCCCCCGCCGCTGCCGCCGCCGCTGCCGCCATCTCGAGCCGGGTGTGAGCGTGTGTGAGGGGGAGAGCTACGAAGAGTTAGCGCGGCGGAGGTGAGTCACTGGGCTTGCTCTCGTTGGCCCGCGCGGAGCAAGCTGGGACCGTGGCTGACTGTGCGCCGGGCCGAAGCCCCGCCCCCTCTGGCGGCGCCGGCGACGCGCGCGGCGGGGAGGGGGCGTGGACCCGGGCTGGCACAGCGTGGGTCGCGGTTCAGGGCGGGGCTGTGTGTGCTGTTTCTGGCGACGCTGGGCAGTCCTGGACACTAGTTGGGCAGGGCGACGGCGGCACCATCCTGGGTCCCTGGGAGAAGTAAGAGCGGGAAGGTTAGTAGGGCAGTCCCTTGCCTGACCCTTGGCCCTAACGCATCTTCTGCCAACCTCAACCCCGCCCCAAGGGTGCGCTCTGATCTCGGCCCAAGGCCGCTGGCTTATGCTGAATAAGTTGCCCCCCATCCTCTGCACGCTTCTCCCGGAAGGGTCTCTAAACACTCCTGCCTGTGAGGGTACTCGCCTGGCTTCCTCGGCTCCCGGTGAGCGCGGTCGCGGGCTAGTGGGGGAAGTGGGCCCCTGGGAACCGGCGTGCGTAGGGCATCTGGGAAGGAGCGAGTGGAGAGGGCAGAATTCCTGTTCCTGGCAACCTTCCAGCCTGGCGCGTGGAGCCAGGTCGAGGTTCATTTGCGTGAATTTAGTCACGGAGGGATCGAAAACATCCTCAATCCTCGAAGCTGTCCCCTTCTCTGAGCCCTTAGAGGCCTGCACATTCTTTGGCAGAACAATTTCGGAAATTCTCCGTCTGTGCTAGGCATAAGCTCTAGCTTTTTCCACCAAGTAGCAAAGATAGACATGTAAACAAGTTTGGACACAGTGTGATGACTACAACAAAAAGAAGCATTATGAGGTTAAATGCAAAAGGCTAACATTAACTACGGCGGAGGTTGTAGGAAAGGCCTCCTGAGGTAAGCTCCGGCGAAATTGGAGATTGAGAGACTAAATGAAATGTGTGGGAGTGCATTTCCAGTAGAAAGAATGCATATAGTCAGTCCCTCACCTGACTGAGTGGTGCAATCAGAGGTAAACTGAACAGGTAAACTCATCATGAGGAACATAAAATGAGCCAAACTCCCTGTCCTTATAGCTCCCCTGCAAGGTTGACTTTTTTCTGGTGATGGTGTGTGGGGGGGGGTTGTATTTGGGGGAGGTTTTGTTGTTGTTGTTATTGTTGTTGTTTTGTTGTTGTGGGTTTGGGTAGTGAGGATTGAATTCAGGGATTCTCTACCACTGAGCTACATTCCAGCCCTTTTTAAAAAAATTCAGGACAGGGTCTCCATAAATTGCCCAGGCCAGCTTCCAACTTGTGATCCTCATTTCTTAGCCTCCCAAGTAGCTGAGATTACAAACCTACCACTTCACCTGGCTCCCTGTAGGGTTTTAAGAGGCAATTAGTTGCTTTATTTTGATTTTCTTGTTGTTTTATTGTTTTCGGATATATAATGCACATACATTCAAATTACAAAAAAAGTAGACACATCAGCCACTGTATTCTTTCTAGTGGCAAACCAGTGTACCCTGTTCCTTGTATGTTTTTCCAGAGTCTACAAATAAGCACTTTATAAAGATGTTTTTTCAAGAGATATTCTAATGCCCATTTAAAGTGTGAGAGGCAATTACCTATTTATAATACATCCATTTATAAAAGGTGGACTGAAAAGAGGCAAAACAGAAAGCATGGGTAGCTGGTGTATAAATCTGAGGGCACAGTATATTCACAATTGTATCTTCAGCTTTTGGCATAGTGCCTAACACAAAAATGTTTTCTGAATGAATGTGTGTGTGTACCTTCCATGCTTTTGCTTCTCCAGATCAAACCCAGGGTCTCTCATATGCTAGGCAAGGGCTCTACTCCTGAGTTATACCCCATTCTGAATGAATTAATTAAATGAGAAAAATGTAAGCCTAGATTAAGACAGTGGCAATGGAAAGAAAAACCAATCAGAAATATTTAAAGGTCAGAGTCTATAGAACTTAGTGACTATAACGATTATTTTTATGTATTTTCTTGACTAGGCCATGATACCTATGTTACCCAGTCTTTAGTCAAACACTGATTGTTATGAAAATATTTGTTAGATGTGATTAATATTTAAATTGGTAGACTTTGAGTAAAGCAGATTACTCTTCATAATTTATAAGGGTCCATCCAATCAGTCCAAATTAAAAAAACTTCAGGAAGAAGGCATTCTGCCTCCAGACTGTAGTATTAAATCTCCCTTAGGTCTTTAGTCTACTTATTTATCATGCAGATTTCAGACTTGCCAGTACCCACAACCTTAAAATAAATCTCTTTCTATTATGCACATCCTATTGATTTGTTTCTCTGGAGAATCCTAACTAGTGATTGACTGAATATGGAGGAAGAGTGGGAGACACAAGGAAAAGTTGATCTCTTTGAAAGTGAGTGATGGTGACAGTTATCTAGTTGCTCAAGTCAGAAACCTGGGAGCTATTCTTTTTTCTTCCTCTCTCTTACCCCTAAATTCCATTCATCATCAAGTCTGGATCTGTTTTCCAATATTAATCTTGAAGATATTTATCCCCGTGTCTCTTGCTACTACCTTAATCCAAWATTTGGTCATCCAGTTTTCATTCTTTACCTTCCACAATCTATTCACTACACACCAGGCAGTTTAATTTAATGTGTTAATCAGATAGTACCACTCCCCTCCAGTTGAAATCCTTTTAATGGCTTCTTCTATTTTTTATTTTTTTTTTAAGTCCAGCTTCTTTTCAGGTCCTGCATAGACTGACTCCTACATCTCACCAACCCCTTTCCTATAATGCCTCCCCCACACACACACACACAACACACACACACACACACCACTGCCATTCTCTATTATTAATTCCATTTAACCTTCTAAGGCTACTAAGCTTTTTCCAGTTCAGGAGGTTTCTACATACTGTTCTTTCTGCTTACAGTGTTTATTTTTCCCCCATGCTTTGCATAGGGTCTCTTCTTTCACATCAAAGCTCAAATGTTATCTCTACAGAAAGCTCTTTCCTGATCTCCCGCCTGCAAAGTACCTCCCCAGTTATTTTCTAACTCAACATTGTTTTTATCATAATATTTATCCGATATCTTGTTTATTCAGTATCTATTTGGAACACAAGTACATTGTCTTATTTTTTACTACTGTATTATTAGTGCTTTGACACATGGTTAAATATTGATAAATTCTTTTGAAAATGGGTGAATGGTGCCTCCCTTCATAGTAAAGAATACAGCATCAATTAAATTTGACCACACAGATCTTGACATTTTTATAGGACATCCAAAATGAAAATGTCTGATGCACTTTGGAGCTCAAGAGAACTGGACCACAGACACAGAATTAGGAGTCATATGATTGTGGTTGGTAAAATGATGTGAAAATTGAAGTTATCTGAATATGGCATAGATTGAAAAAAATATTGAAGGACATCAACATTTAAGGAGCAATCAGAAGAAAAAGATATAGGGAGGACAGTAAATATTTAAAAATTATTTTTGTATTCTTCCAGTACCATCATGTGTATATGTGTGTGGAAAACAAATGTGTATGTGTGTATTTTAAAATAATGTGGGACTTGGTATATTAAAAAATTCACTATATGGAAGTCAGAAGACCTTCTTCTAGTCATTCAAATGATAAGATTTTATTGAGCTGAATACTTCTAGTGTGTATGTGGTGGGGAAGGGCTTACAGTCTTTTCCTCTTTTTCTGGAAATTGCCCTAGTTAGTATACAAGAGTGGGTGTGCTCTCCAAAGCCATGTCTTGTGGCTTACCATAGTGACTTACCACAGCTGATCTAGAGATTAATTAACTATTAAGCTAATGAATATTTAGTTTCAGGACCCCTTATTACTTGGGCCCATATTATTTTCAAAGGAAGCCCTCCAAATTGTATGTACTGCAAGATATATAATCTGGATCTGCCCCTACATGGGATATATAGGCCACTAGAATAATTAAATAATAATAATWATTATTATTATTATTATTATGTGTGTGGTGCTGAGGATTGAGCCCAGGACCTTGTGCATGAGAGGCAAGCACTCTACCAACTGAGCTATATCCCAGCCTTTTTTTTTTTTTTTTTTTTGAATCATCAAATGCAGCATGTGTCTATATCTCAGCTACTCAGGAAGCTGAGGCAGGAGGATTTCAAGGTCAAGGCCAGCCTTGACAATTTAGTGAGAACCTGACTCAAAATTTAATAAAGCCAGGCACAATGGCTCAGGCCTGTAATCCCAGTGATTTGGAAGGCTGAGGCAGAAAAATTATAAGATCGAGGCCAACCTCAACAATTTAGTGAGGCMCTGTCTCAAAGTAAAAGATAAAAAGATCCCGCGATTTAGCTCAGTGGTAAAGCACCCCTGGGTTCAATCCCAGTACCAAAAAAAAAAAGTGGAGGTTGGGTGGAAAGCGGGGCTGGGTGCCCTGGAGCATTCCTATAATTCCAACAGCTCTGGAGGCTGAGGCAAGAAGATCATGAGTTTGAGGTCAGCAGGACCCTGTCTCAAAAAAATAATAATAAAAAGGACTAGGGGCTGGGGGTCAAAGCTCAGTGGTAGAGCACTTGCCTARCATGTGCAAGGAGCTGGGCTCAATTCTCAGCACTGCATATAAATACAATAAAGGTCATTGGCAACTAAAAATGTAAAAAAAGGGATTAGGGATGAAGTTCCTAAATTGCCCCTAGATTAAATCCCCAGTAACCAAAACAAACAAACACACCCTACCTATGTGGAATTGTTATGAAGTCATAGATAACTGAAAAATTCTATCACTCAGAACATTAGAATTCAGAACTTGAGATTCCTAGAGCCTGGAAGTTGTGGCTGATGACAACCTCCTGAAGGTAGGGGCCGCAAATCATGCTGAAGTAACAATTTCCCTAGCCACCTTACTTCATCCTGCCTTYCCTAAGTTCCTTTCTTGCATGCCTTAAATGCTGTGAGATACCCCAGTATCTTTCCAGTCAATACCATTTCTGACCTCAGCTAAAAATATCAACATCTAGAACAGTATACTTGTAGTAAAGAAATCTTGAGACATATGC